GAGCGGACATTCTCTAATCTGCCGCGCCCCCCCACCCCGCCTGTGCTCTTGCGCCTGCGTGTTGGGAGTTTCCGTGCGTGTTCTAGGAGTCATGTTGTGTTCGAAGTGGGAGTGGTGTTCGGGGGAGCTTGGGATTGTTTCTGTAGGGCCCCTAACAGCATGCCGCTGCAGCTGTCCTGTGTTTAGTTACATGAACGTGAGTGCTTTTAAATTTCGTGGGGATTATTTCAAAGAAAATAACGCGGAGTAGGGGATTGCAGAATGGGTAAATCCAACCATTATTCAGTCTAGTTAGAAAACACTAGTACGATTATTATTTTTCTGCGTTAATATTCAAAGTGTGATCAGGAGTAATGCTGATGATATAGGAGTTAGTCGCAATTAAGATTCAAAAGAGGAAGATCAAACGAGATTTTATTGGTCTTGTCATCGTTCTGTATTGTAATCAGTTGTAAGGCCGATTACAGGTGACTTTTAACAAGGTCATTGTTACAGGTAATCCACTTTTTAGAGCAGGTGTAAGGAAAAGAACCAGGTGAGCGGTCATGTCACTGTACATATATAATACATGAAATGATTTGGTAACTTGCACCAGGACAGCTTTCGAACACATTCTGTAAAAGGTGGAGCTAAAGCCATTTATATAAAGAAATGACTGTGTTCATGCCTCTGTAGGATTACTGTACATTACTGTTTCCAGAAAGATGATGGTTTGTGATGGTTGGACTGAGTAATTTAAAACTGTCGTTAACAAAGCTGCACAGTACAGTGGGGTCTCGAATTACAAACTTAATCTGTATTGGAAGGCTGTTTGTAAATTGAAAAAGTTCGTAGGTCGAATCTGCATTTCCCATAGGAATGCATTGAAAACCATTTAATCCGTATCTGCTCTATTCCGTCCATAGAAACTAATGGGATACTGCTATGCTGCCTTCTGCCACTAGAGGGGGATATTTTTTCTTTTTTTTTCTTAGGTCAAGAAAAGTTCAGGAAAGGAGGGGGAAGGCAGGGAACAGTTTTAAAAAGCACTTTTGATATCTTTTTTTTCAACGAAGCCAATTTTAAAGCATGTTGTGCTGATTTTTTCAGCACAAAGACACACAGGCAGGCTTTTTAGGTGCTGAGCAAGCCTCCCCAAGCCTCTTCAGAGCCAGCCGATCAGCTGTTAGGCGGGGAGAGGAGGGGGCAGGAGCAGAGACAAGCACAAAATGGCTGCCAGGCTCCCTTCTGGGGGTCAGCTTTTATCTGTTTGCTGCGCTTTTTTCCTGCAGTTCGGGGGCTACCAAGGCCTGGTAAGGGACTTTCTTTTATTTATGTTTAAGTTTCTGACCTTTTTTTTCCCCCTCCAGAAGCCTCTAAGGGGAGGGAAGGGGCACTTTTTTCCTGTTCGTAACTCGAGGGAAGTTCGTATGTTGAGTATGTAATTTCCTATCGGGCGGGTTCGTAAGTTGAAAAGTTCGTATGTAGAACCGTTCGTAAGTCGAGACCCCACTGTAAAGTTTTCAAGCAACAAAACAAAGTATCATTTTATTTTCAAGTGATAACAGCTTTTTGTACATCTGTCGTTGCAAGTGAGAACAGATTTACCAAACCTGTGACTTAGTTACAGTTCTGTATGTCTTATTAATGATAAACCTCACTAAAAACACAGTGAGACTTAACTTACAAGTAAACATTTAGAAGGATTGGAATGTTTATTCTGTTCCTAGGTGCTATTCATATTGGATTGTATTTACTTTGATAAATAATACTTTATTCTTGCTCAAGTTCTTCAAAGGTATTCAAGCAGAGAGAGTGTGCTTCAGTTGTTGATTCTATCTGAAAGGCTCTATAGTTCAAACTCTTTGATATTCATAAAGTGTCAGTGTTGGCACATTAGATGTCATCTTACATATAATTTTACGGAAACATTAGCATTGAGTCATTCTCTCTTGTCATTACATTGAGTTAGTTGTGGTGGTGGGGAGAACTATAATACAGTATGCCAGAAGTTAACAAAGAGAGAAAACAACTGTATAGAGAAATACATTCAGTTGAGTTTTTTTATTGTGGATATATTCAGGTCTGATTTAAGTACCTTGAAGGTCTGTTCTTCAGTGACTAGTATTAAAAACTTCAACAAGCTGGCTTCAAGCTGGAATGCATGAACTTCTTTTGATTATCTTAATGAGAGAACTGGGTCCTGGAATTAAAATGAGAAAGAATGCCCATGCCAGTAGATAAAAAGTACACAGAGAGAACTACTTATGTCTCAATTTTTGTATATTTAAAATGCAAGAAGGTCTACATGCTAATGCTTCTTTGGTTAGGTTTTTTCGCATTTTGTTCCAAGAAGAAAAGGATATACGTGCATGAAGGTTTTTTTTAAGCAAGTTGTAGGTACTGCAAATGATTGTCGCGCTACCCCACTTCACAAGATTAACTTTCATCAATTGAAATAGTTGTATGAGATTATACTGCCAGTTCCTTATTTTTTTTAAGAAAAAGAAAAATTGGACTTACTGTGAATTTTCATATTGAATGGGAGAGCAATTTATATAAGGATAAAGCTGATAGTTCATATTCAGCTAAGAAGCATAGGAAAGAAGCAGTGGCCTTTGGCAGAAGATATTTAACCACTGACAAATTGGTAGGGTTGGCATTTTGGCATCTAAGGTTGTACTACTGTATATTCTCACATTGGAGAAAATTGCCCTGAACACAGTGGAACTTATTCTGTACAAGCATGCAAATGATTGAATTACATTTATAAATAGCTTGAGGATAAGGAAGGTATGCCCCCATTCTTGGACAGCAAGTTCAGCCAACTCTGACCAGTGGACACAAAGTGGAAGCTAGTTGTAAAATCCAACTATTTCTGGAGTGCCCCAAGTTGTCCATCCATGTAATAGGTGCAGAGCAAGGGTCCATAGGCAGGAGATAAGAACCATCGGACCCAGAGTAGAATTTACTGAATTAGTAGTACAGTATATCTCTTCTGGAAAAGAGAATAGACCACCAGGAAGAAGAGGCATGAAGCAAACATCAACACATATATACATGGTGGTCCTTTTTTGAAAAAGGTATTAGAAATCTTTCTCTAATTCTAGACAAATGAATGCTTCCTTAGCTTACCTTTTGTGATGAAATGAAGAAAAATATTATATTAACTTTACACCACTAATAGTATTTGAAACATTTTCCCAATTACTAGATTATTAGAACTCAAACATTTGGTTCTGGGGGGAAATGTAATAAAGTGTTTGTGGTGACTAACATACACTGTTTATTTCAGTGGGTCTGCTGTACCTGAGAATAACAGAATGTAACCCTTAAATGTGGTTTAGGATGGAATCTTGTACATATTTTGGAGTATGTTCTGTTGAGATTCCATTGTTATGAACAGGCTTACAGTGTATGATAAATATTTTAAGACATGGGATTAAATGAAATAATTGGAAACTGTTAAAGTATTTATTCCAGAATGTCAAATAATCTTTTGAAAAGTTCATTATAGTTTTGTTTTAGATTTCACTGGTATTGAAACCATCTAAAATTGGGGGGGGGGGGAATCCATTTTGTATCATTAATTAAATGCAGTATCAGCATCATCAGTCCAAAAAAAAAAAAATACCGGAGAGGAAATAAAAGAGGCAGTTCTTAAAGAGGTGCCTATGTTTACACATTGCTTTTGTTGCTGCTATTCTTATTTATTTTTAGAAATGATTTAACTGTTATACTTTTTCTTTTATTGTTTTCATATAACTGTTAGCCGCCTTGTGGATCCCTTGTGACTGAAAGGCCGGGTAAGAAACATTATAAACAAAATATACATCTATCCTATTTCTCAGGACCTAGATAGGGTAAAATGCTCACGTACCATCAAAATGAAATTTCACAGTGACTTCAAATTCTCTTTATCATTTGGTGGGATAGAGCAGTTTACTTTGGGATGATAAACAGCACTCTATACTAGGCAAGAGACTATTATTGCACAAGAACATTTTGCAACAGCTTTCTACCAAACGTATGTTTGGGGAATGGCTTTTTTTTCTTTTTCTGCACATGCTTCTACAATACCATATCATTTTAGTCACCTTATTGAAATGCATTTTGATTTTCATTATTTTTTATTATACCTTTGGACGATTCTACAAAAGAAGGGAAATGGGCCTCCATCTGCCTCTTATATGTCACTAGAATTTTTTTTTTACTTCAACTCCCAGAATTCTGCTTGCAGAGTTCCTAGAGCATGCACTAACTCACAGAATGCTCTAGGAATTCCAGAAGCAGAATTCTGGGAGTTCCAGACATACACCTTCAGACAATGCCTATCTTGGAGGATTCAGGGCCTGCTTCCTGTTTTTAATGTACAACAGTAGAAGCTTCTGAGGTATTTTCTGGGAGTTCTAGTTTTGCTGCCTTTTAGGCTCTGTAAAGGGTGCCTCCTAATAAACTACAACACCCAGAAAGCATTGAGACAGCTTCCATTTTTAAAATATATATTAACAACAGGAAGCAAGCCTGAGAACAGGCCCTGCTCCTGATGGGTGAAATACAGGTGTCTGAAGCTATCTCATGGTATGAGTTGTGGGTTAGAATTCCCAGAATTCTGCTCCTGGGAGTTCCTGGAGATTTCTAGGACTTGGGAGTCCAAAAAATAAAAATAGCACAGCCTTACTACCTACTGCAAGCCTGGAAAAACATTCCTGTCTGTCCTGATAGAAGATGCACATTTTTATCACTCATGTGCTATTTCTGATATGTGAATGTTGCTATTAGGAATACAATTTTAAGCTAAAGCCATTAGGAATACAATTTTAAGCTAAAGCTTATTAATGGCCATGGCATTCTCATAAAAAATTGTAGTAGTACATTCAGTCTCCATGTCAAACACTTTAAAAAATCTTGTTCAAATTAGCTAAGTTGAAAGATAGTACCCTGTTACCAACTGGAACCATGTTCATATGTGGTAAAATAGAAGACCTCATAATGTTGTGTAACAGAATATGCCGTTGTTCCCCAGTTGACAGATTTCTCTGGAAATCCATTTTCTTTGGCTAGAGTGGGCCTGTTAACCCATTCTCACCTTTGTAGATACTTAGGTTGTAAATCATCCCATTCCTGTGCTACAGTATTTGGCATTCTGAACATACGTACTTAGAGGAGAGCAGGTAGCCTGCCCCCTCTACATAATCCTTTTTCCTGCTTTCATTCCTAAGTCTAAATAGATGTTCCAGTGTTCTTGTTTATATGGAGAGTATGAACCACTGCTCATCAAACTTGGTGCTGGAAGCATGAAGAAAGCAACAGTAGAGGGGTGGGCTAGGCACACACACACATCCAGTGGTATCCCAATGTCTGAAGTAGAGCTAAGGAAATCATAGTGACAAATATTGGGAAAGAGGATGTATGTAGCAGCTTCTTTGGCCACCTTGTGACAAGAGCATTTGAGTTTTCTACTATGGAGAAAAATTAATGAATAATCTATTGGTCTTGTGGTTTAGTTGAGATGTGAAGAACTACAGAGTTGACTGTGACCATAATCTGCCTGGAAAATAACTTTATCAAAAGACCACTCAATTTAGTATAATTGTTGACAGCTCAGTCAGCCCTCTTCAGAGTTCCAAAAGCTTCGAAGATGCTCTTTCAGGAAGAAAGGGTAAGTCTTCATGCGAGGGGGGGGAGTTGTATTCTCATGCAGACCTGGTGATCTTGTCCCACCATGGGGAGACAGGCTTTCTTTCTGTTGATCATCTCTGGTCTGCTCAGCCTCATCAGGTTCTATTGCAGTTTACCTAAGAGTATATTCAGGACCCATCCTACTCTGATTTAGTGCTCTGGTTCTCATTGAATAACTGGAGTCTTAGTACAAAGCTGGCAAACTTTGTGTCTCCTCTTCCCAAACCTCTTTTACAGCGATGTCTTCAATAGAATTGGTTGAAGGATGCTGTCCGTTGGGGTTGGGCTGGCCTTTCTTGTTGGGCTGCGAGCAGATAGAATTTTTCAAAAAAATATTTTATTCCCAAAAAGAGAGCTGAAATGGGTCCCAAACCATATATTATCTTCTAATATCTGTTGTGGTTATACCAGACTGGAATTTGAGATTCAGGTTCTGTTAAAGTGGTTAAAAGGTGGCCTAGACAATCATAGGTCTGCAGAATCATTGTAGGATGTCAAATAGGCATCTGCAGGAAGATAAAATATAAGGGATAAGTTGTAAGTCCTATAATTCATGACTTTGGTAGCTCAGGGATGGGGTTGGCAGAAATATGGCTTACTCCCTGGTAGGATGGTTTTATTACAGAACATTGGGAAGTGTGGTTTGCGTAGGACCAGTTCTCTACTGGCTTCAGTGGTAAGTCGGGTGCCTTGCCAGGAAGAGTCCATTCCTTATTACATGGTGAAAAACTTTCAAAAATGGTATTACAATGCTTTCTGTTTTGCTGTGAGGCACACATGTTGCTTCTTGCAGTTGAGACCCTTGGTCAGTGATTAGGGAGGATGTTCCTGTCAAAATAGTGTTTCTCCACTTTACTCATAAGAGCTTCATATAAAGCATCTCTTAATGAGGGACTGAGAGAAATTCCAGTTAGGATCAGCTAGAACATTCTTCTCTTTCCCTGACTTAATGATTCTTTATTCTTCAGAAATGTTGGATTAAACTCTCCTGCAGAGGTCCATAAGAAAGCTATTTTTTCTGGTGTGCTAAAAAGAAGGTGACAATACACAGCTTGACTTTGGGGTCTCTGATTAGAGTGCCCTCAGTATGACGGGATCATAAACATGTTTGTACAGTAGGTGCTTGTGTTTGAGGTGCCCAGAATAGGACTAAACTTTCAGCTGAAGGATCTTGCCCCATGCCTTAATCTTGTGGGAGTGGGAAGCGGATTATAGAATTCATGTTATACCTGGAATTCTGGCTTTTATAGTGGTGCCTGTCTTTGTTGCCTGATCATTTTTCTGTTTCCTTTTGCTGAGTCTTTCACTGTGTTGATGGTTTGGGGGCTAGGTGTTTGCTTTGCGGGAAGATTTCTCCCATGAAAACATGTGGCCCTGAATAGGCAGTTAAACTATACTCTTTTGCTTCTTTGATTGTAGCTCTGAATAAGCCAAATACAAGGAGTTTCTTATATTGTGTCCAAGGCCACCTTTGTAGGAGATAGCAGGCCGGACACTGCCCTCTTCTCTCTTTGTGAGAAAATGTCTTCCCAGACTTTACATGATAGGAATAGGTTCTTCATTATGTATTCCTGTTCTTCTCAGTGTCCCAGCTGTTTTAGGTAGAGAGATATGGTGAAGACATATTTAGTTGAGATGCTGACAGGACTGCAGTAGCAGCCAGTGCTACTATTAGGCAGGATGTTTTCTGCAGAGAAGTGGGAGGATTCCCCCTTTCACACATTTTTTGTCTTTGAAAGCAATCTGTCTCTTTCCCTGTAGCATTAAGTGGAGCTTCATCCCAAAGTAAACTGTTATCCCCTACTGACTGACAACTAGATCAAGTTGGTGACGAAAACTTCAGTTCCCTAGTGAGTTTGAATTCTTCCCTTTCTTTTCCACTTCTGAAAATTTTCTCTTAAAGTATGGATTCTCATAATAAGCATTTCCAAAGCACATTTTATTAGGCCTCAAGCTTCTGTATTAACTTATGTTCCATTTTTACAATACTGTGTGTCTCGTTTTTTTCTTGTAAAAGGATACACATGACATTTTTCAAAAGAAAAAAAATATGGCTTGTTCCTCTCTTTTTTGATTTTTTTCTGTCCTAATGATGAAACATGGCCTCTTCTGCAGCCCCAACTCTTAACTTTTTCCCAGTTTCTTGGATTTTATTCTGTTCCTGTCTTAGAACCTACCTGCTGGCTTCCCATGCACTGCCTCATATAGTTGTCAGAATTCTGGTTCTGTGGATGTCTGTAGGAATATTGCCTTGGCTCTTGCAGTTGGTGTTTGAAGGAAAACATACATTGCTAGTGAGCTGAAAAGAAAAGAGTTTTGTGCATGTGGTGCATATGCATTGTTAGAAAGGATTTTACCAGCTTGTGCTGCTGTAAATTAAAATAGTGCATATTGATGTGATATTAGACTGGGCCAGTGCATGACTACTAACTTAAGTGGAATTGGGGAAGCAATATTACTTAAGCAGTCGCCTATGAATTATGAGAAAGATGTATCTCAGTTGAGGAACAGAGCCTGTGAGGATAGTTATGTGGCAGGCTGCATGAGCAGGTCATGCTAGTCCTGTAGGACTTAATGGGAACAGCAGTTACAAATTCCTTCAGCGTTATGCTTTTGTAATGTCTGAGTAGCTGTTGCACTGTTTTAATGTTCCAGGATACTGCTAACGTATATAGTCCTACTTAGGAAAGGGTGGGGGTGAATCATGATTCTCAAATGCTAAATTTGCTGTTTATGTTTTTTATGGTGTTTGATTTTAAACAGCAAAATGGACTGGGCTGGGAAACATAATGGTCCAAATGATTCATCTAGTGATGGAACAGTACGATTGCGTGGTCTGCCATTTGGCTGCAGCAAGGAGGAGATCGTTCAGTTCTTTCAAGGTAGCTCTAGTGTTAATGTCAAGTGACTTTCAGTGTTTCTATGTCTGCAAGATTGATATTTGAAATAGTTTAATTTTTATTGGCCATTTCTGAGGGATGGGGTGGGGGAATTGATCTTCAAAATTTAGATTGCTAATTTGGTATTTATTGTTAAAATACTAGACAGTTAAGAGACACATTGGCAATGTAGGGTATATAATTTATAATTTATATAGCTGTCTTGCTAGGATTCAAGAATTTGGATTATGTAGTTATTGTATCATGCATTATATGTGGGCCTTTGTGATGTAGTTGTTGCTGTGTAGTCTGAACAAAGATAGTAATAGAATGTCTAAACCCATAAAGTTAATGAAAGATCGTTAGTATATGTATTTGGATTAGGGGGGAGGGGGAAGCAAAGATGTTTTCTTGCATTTGTGTAGATTTGCTTTAAGTATTTTCTACAGATGGGAATGTTTCAGACTTTAACACTCTTCCCCTTGATGGGGTTATTTGTCCTTGGGTTAAAGGGTTGGAAATCGTGCCAAATGGGATAACATTGACGCTGGACTACCAGGGGAGAAGCACAGGGGAGGCCTTCGTGCAGTTTGCTTCAAAGGAGATAGCAGAAAAAGCTCTGGGGAAACACAAGGAAAGAATAGGGCACAGGTGGGGATGGAGAGTTTGGGATGGTGTTAAATCTTCTTTGGGGGGTTGGGGGTCAGTATTGCTTGGGGGGGTTGGGGAACATAAATTGACTGGCTATTTTTTTAAAAAAATCACCCTAAGTAATTTGGAAGTACAGTAGATTATGTGGTGGCGGGGAATGGTGATACTATGTAGCTTGCTAAATTTGGGCTATTGGGTTTTTTTATAGGGGTGTTTATGATAGCCAGATATTTTTGAAAGACTTTATACTGGGGTAGGGGGGAGTGTGGTTCAGAGATTTGATGTATGTAATATGCAGCTAGAGTTTTTAGTCAGTAAAATAAATCACAGCAATGCTTGCTATTACATTTAAAATTAAAGTTTAAGTGACACTTGGAAAAACAGTGTACATTTCTACACTGAATGCTATATCTAGTTGTAGAATTCAGATCATTTTAACAATTTGTTACTATATTTTCCCCCATACATCACATGTATTCTTACATGCATACATTGTAAATCTTTTTTTATTCAGATATATTGAGATCTTCAAAAGTAGTAAAAGTGAAATCCGAGGATTCTATGACCCACCACGAAGAATGATGGGACAGCGACCTGGACCATATGATAGACCAATGGGAGGAAGAGGGGGTTATTATGGAGCTGGGCGTGGAAGTATGTATGACAGAATGCGTCGAGGAGGTGGTGGATATGACGGTGGTATGTGTATCTAATGACCGCAGGCTCTTGTCATTTTCATGTTCCTGACGTTTTGTCAAGAAATACAGAAATGACAGTAATTATAATACATACCAAGTCTGAATTCTGGATACCAATCATTATTTTTACCAGCTGTGTGACTAAAGATTGAAAAGGTACGGAGAGGCATCTGAAATGAAATTTTGAATGTGGATGAAACTTGGTTTGCATGTTTTTGAGCCTGGCCACACTTATGCATATGGAAGTCTGTTTGTATATATGTTAAGATTGTTTGATTAAATGCACAGTGTTTTAAAGATAATTTCATGGTTGTTTTAAAGACCATTTCATAGTATTTCCATTTCTTAAAACTCACAGGATATGGTGGCTTTGATGACTATGGTGGCTATAACAATTATGGCTATGGAAATGATGGCTATGATGACAGAATGAGAGATGGGAGAGGTAAGATCAAAAAGCGTTATTGCGTTGCTTTTTAGTCATGAAGCATCTCTGAATTTTAAGGCAGATGTCTTGTTTATTGTTCGAAGAGATGAACAAAGTTCTAGCAAAGGTATCAACTAAAATTAGGTTATGTAGAAATAGAGGGGTTGGTTTGAATTTTTAGTGATATGCTTATGTTACAATAAAGTGTAGGAAATAGTGTATATTGTTCCAGAATTGCCATCTCAGCATGTGAATATTGGAGATCTGCTTTTCTGAACAATTCTTCCGGAATGAAAGGGAAGAAATACTATTTAGCATGAAAAGAAGCAAAATATTGCTAGTGAAATTAAATCAGGATATTTTCTGGTGTTCAACATTCAAGTCCATTTCTAGTTTCAAGCACATGTTGAGAATACATGTCCTCATCTGCAGTAGATCATGCATTTATACAGATTTTCATTTTTAGGAATGGGAGGCCATGGCTATGGAGGAGCAGGAGATGCAAGTTCAGGCTTTCATGGTGGTCACTTTGTCCACATGAGAGGTTTACCATTTCGAGCAACAGAAAATGACATTGCTAACGTAAGTGCTGCATAAATACAAGAGTATGTGATAACTTTTATTGGACCACTAAAAAATCAAACAAATAGCAAGCCTTCATGAATGAAATCGGCTTTCTCAGGCTATGCACATCTCCTTCAGACATTCTTAGTTGCTGTGGCTTTCCCCCTTTGGCAGGGATTTGGACTTAATGACCCCTTGGGGTCTTTCCTAGCTCTACAGTTGTTTCTATTTATTTTATTAGATTTATACCCCGCCCATCTAGACCAAAGGTCTACTCTGGGCAGCATTACAAATTTAAAAACAATACAGTTCTAAGATTCATGAAAAAAAAATACATATCTTTGTACTGTACTGGAAATTCAGCAATGTATGGGTGGAAAAACATGAAAAAGCTGCATATCTCTGAGCTTCAATTTTCCTTATGCATACCATGGTGCTAAAGTAAATTCTTTTATTTCACTACCAGTTTACTAGCAAGATCCAAAATTGCTCTAAGAGTTCTAATTAGGAAAAGGTATACTTTCATTTCAGATTTTAAAAGTTCAAAAAGGGTTCATTTGGAGAGAAAATATGTATATGTACACATACACACAATCTGTTTAGTCTTAAATTTTGTTGTGTTTGCCAGTGTTAACAGAAGAGAAAGTGAAACAGAAACCAGAAAAGTGCTTATCTCTCAGCATAAGGTGGGTTGCTACCGCATGTGCCCTTTGTGGGCTATCTGCCCCAACCCATCCCCAGAAGTGCAAGGTGTGACTTGAGATACCAACTGTCGCTGGGGTTGAGAAGAGCATGGGCCAGGACACACAACACCAACAAAGGGCTGGTGAAGGAAGGACCTCTAGAGGAAAGCAGGAAAGAAATAGAACCCAAGAGGGAACAGGGCAGGAAAAAGAACATTTCCTACAGGGCAGGAAGAAAAGGAGAGTAGCTTTAGATTTGGGAGATATAAAAGGGGCCATAGAAGAGATGGAGGCAGAGAAGAGGTGACTGGGAGGGAAACAGTGTAGTTGAGGAGGTATTCTCTAACTTGGAAGATGAAGTGGCCTAGAGTGGTACCTGGGAGGAGATGGAGAAAAGGTGTACAGCACAAAGGAGACTTCAGAGCATGAGGGGGACTAGAAATATACATAGAGGACCCCTGGACTAAGGTTTATATTGAGGCCTGTGTGCCCTGGGGACAGGGACAGAAGTACCAGAGATCCAGTATGCGGCACCGCCCTAAGTAGACCATGACCATTGCTAGGAACACTGTCACTACCTCTGATCCGGTGCCAGAGAACCTACTCCCACTCAACTGTGATGCTGGGGGAGGAAGAGACAGGAGCGCCAGCAACTTCCCCAGTAGCAACAGCAGGCCAAGTACATATGCAGACCACTAGCCAGGCCTTGTGAAGCAACAAGCCTTGCCCTCGTTGCAAGCATACTGACTCTTGCTCCTCAAGGCCTCTGGTTTTGGTTCCTTACGGAGGTGAGGAAAGAATTCAGAAGACTCTCCCACTCCAGTCTTGTCAACTAAAGGTTTAGAGCAAACTGAGCATAAGGCAGGGTCAGTGGAGTTTACCAGTTAAATCTGTTTCAGAGTTTAGTACATTCCCTTTCCCAAGTTCAAATAAATCCCTTTTTGCTCAACCCACAGGGTTTCAATTTGATAGATCCAGAGAGGGTGGATGGCCCACATGTTGACCCATGCAGAGTTGACAGGGCTCACACTGATTGATTGATTGATTTAATTTTAAAAAAAAAAAATCTTGCCTTTCTCCTAGTACAGGGACTTAAAGCACTTCCCAAATCAGTAAAAAGAAAAAAAGGGAATTATAGTCCCTTTGACCAAGTCTTTATCTAGCTCTGTTAGCCACTTTTAGAGTTTTGCTTTAGTATATGTGACAAATCGGGAGTCATGTTGTGTTTGGAAATTAGTAGGCATCATTTTCTCCCTGGGTCCTGTACTCCCTCAAGCCATTGATTTGGAGCTGGCTCCGGGGGTGGCTCTCAAGTCCCTAGTTCAACAGAATCGATCTTGCAAATCTGGTTTTGCAAATCTCATTTAGGCTTATAGTAGTACCAAGCTGCACATACTTTCATATATAGAGAAGGCTAGCAAAGAAATGCTTAACTTCTGTAGATTTTAAAACTTGTAAACCAGTGTAAGGCTAAATGTAATCAAAACTTCTGTAGCTTGTTTGCATTGCCAACATGGTGACGGCTCATAATTAGAGATAGGATTTTCATATTTGTCTCCTGGGAGAGACTAATACGAATATTGCCACTAGAACCGGGCAATCCACTTACCATTCGTAGCGCGTGGGATCATCATTCTCACCACACCAATCAGGAAGTGGCCTGACCAAGGCTTTCCCCATCTTTCTGTGCTGCTGAGGCGGGATGATGAGTCTCCCTGCTCAGCTGCTGAATGGTCAGCAGTGCAGGGAGGCAGGGAAGCCCTGACCAGGCTACTTCAGCGATTGATGCAGCACAAACAAATATGGCCGTGTGCACCATGCTGCAAATAGTAAGTGTATTGCACAGTTCTGGGGCAAGGGTCCTATTGGCCCGACTGCCTATGGTGGTGATAATTGTATTAATCTCTCCTGGGAGATGAATACAAATACAGTATCCAATTTCTACTCTAATAGGTCAGCTGAATACAAAGTACTGCTTGACTGCAGTTTGTATAAATGGTAGGAGTGTGAAATTTCTGATATCTACCAGATAAAACGCAGGTGCTTAACATACTGTGGTTTAAATTTGAGGAATGTGTCTGCAAGTATTAACTTGCTGTTGCTCACTTTTAGTTTTTCTCACCACTGACTCCTATAAGAGTTCACATTGACATTGGAGCAGATGGACGAGCAACTGGAGAAGCTGATGTAGAGTTTGTGACACACGAAGATGCAGTGGCTGCCATGTCAAAAGATAAAAATCATATGCGTAAGTTAAATATCAGAAGGATTAAAAGATCAGAATCAATGCCTGGGCTTGTTGCAAGTTACGAAGTTCATTATTTTAATTTCCCCTTATTACCAGATTTTCAGAAAAACAAGCAGGGCAAGCAGAATTTCATGATAAATTAGCATAACTAGTATAAATAATCCCATATGACAATTTTTACATGTCACTTTACATCTCTAGAATTTTACTGGCACATGTTGAAGATAATAGCATTAACATTAATGTGGTAACATTTAATTGGAAACTTGTCTCTTACTGTTAACTTTTTTAACAAAAATTGTAAAATTTGTTCAGCTAATCATTAGTAATGCATTGCTTTAAAAATGTTAGTAAAGGTGTCTGCAAACACCTAGTTTCTTCCAGGGGGCAATTAATTAAAGTAATATGAATTGCCAGTTGTACTCAAGTGGTTAATGTCCTAGTTGTGTACTGATTAAGATAACAATTTTAAGTCGAGTGGAACCTCTACTTACAAATGTCCCTACCTATGAACAATCCAACTTACGAACAGCTCTGTTCACAAAATGTTGCTTCTACTTGCGAACGGAGCTTCAAGATACGAACAGAAAAAAGGTAGGGGAAAAAGGCGGGCAATTCAAATGTCTAACTGTAGGTGGCACCAAGGCTGCTGCTTTGTGCTGTAGCTCTTTCGGCAGTTATAGGGTGTGTCAGTTATAGGGTGTGCCGCAGTTGGAGGCTTGGGAGAGCCTCCTGCTTCGGAGTGAGCCTGTGTGTTTGTCTGCAGGGAGGTAAGCTGCTGTTTTCTCCTTTTTAAAAACTGTTCTGGTGGGTTTTGGTGGGGCGGATATGTTTCTGTGCTGTGTTGTTGGTGGCTTTTTTTTTTTCTTAATGACTCAGCAACGGAGCTGGATTTACTGTTTAGTTTTGGATTTTTTTTCCCTTAAAGCCTGAGCAATAGAGCTGGCTTTGCTGTTTAGTTTTGGATTTTTTTTTTCTCTTAAAGACCCAGGCCGGGCTTGCTGTGTTCTTTTTATTTTGGGTTCCCCCCCCCCGCCTTCGGCCAGAATGGATTAAATGGCTTTCAATGCATTCCTATGCGAAATGGAGCTTCTGCTTATGAATGTTTCAGCTAACGAATATCTTCTGGGATGGATTAAGTTTGTAAGTAGAGGTTCCACTGTACTAGTTTAAAACATTTCAGTGATAGTGAATTGAGTTTTAACAATATTGTTTCCAAGCTCTAGTTATTTGGAATACTTGGTTAGTTTGGGTGGTTGAGAGGAATTTGGGCAAGTACTTATTTACAGTGCATTGGCTGCTGATCTATTGACTTGCTGAGTAATTTGTAAGGAAAAAGGAGGCCAGAAATAGTATGATTCTCTCTTCAGATGTGCTTGGCACAAAGATGTCTGAGCTTCTGTAAATTCTTCCCTGCATTCAAGTGAGTGATTAGGAAGCTGTGTCAGTTGACTCTTCACTTACAGATTTTTGCTTTGTTTTTATTTTGAAGAGCATCGATACATTGAACTGTTCCTGAATTCAACTGCTGGAGGTGGTTCTGGAATGGGAGGATATGGCAGAGATGGCATGGGTATGCTTGTTTCGTATTTTAAATTTAAATTAAAGATACAATTTCAAATTGAATGTAGTCTCTAGTCTAGAGACTAACAGTAAACACTTCCTTTACAGATCAAGGTGGTTATGGTTCCGTTGGAAGAATGGGAATGGGGAGCAGTTACAGTGGAGGATATGGTGCTCCTGATGGTTTGGGTGGTTATGGTAAGTTTTCTTAAATAGGTAATCAAATTGTTGTTGTTTTTTTCCTTTAAAGTTAATGGTTTATAATCTTAAAACGTACTTTATGCTGTTTAGGCATTATAGAAATTCGTCCTCTGAACATAATTAGAGGGTGTCATCTAAGTACCACCCCCTCTTATCAACATATTTGTCATTGTTTCAGCAATTTGCCTTTGTACAATTAAAACTCATGCACCTTGTGTGCCTGTTCCGGGAGAGAGCTGATCTAGCCATGGTGACACATGCCGTAGTTACACCCTGTTTGGGTTACTGTAACGCACGCTATGTGAGGCTACCTTTGGAAAGTATCAGGAACTTCAGCATGTCTAATACGCAGCAGCCAGATTGCTGACTGGGGCTGGTTACAGGGATCCCACCCCTGTTATAGCAGCTCCACTGGCTGCCAATTAGTTTCCAAGCATGATTCAAAGTGTTCATTCTAATCTATAAAGCCTTAAACCACTTGAGTCCCAAGATATCTCAAGGATCATGTCTATGAGTCTGCTCAGGTGTTAACATCGGGTAGGCCTTTCTGTTGGTCCTGCCACCTTCACAGGTACATTGGGTGGGGACCTGGGAGTGGGTCTTCTCTGTTGCTGCACCCAAACTTCGGAACCCCTTGCCACAGGAGCATCTTTACTGCCCTTTCTCAAGCAGGCAAAGACCTTTCTGTTCAGGAAAACCTTCCCTCATTGATTGGCTGCCTGAGTGGGATTTATTTAATGAATTATTGTGCTTTATTGCTTTGAATGTGTTTTTAGTATTGCTTTTGTTTACATTTTTAATTTGCTTCTTCCTTTTTAATAATTTGAGTATTTAATGTATTCGCGAAGGCTTTCACGGCCAGGATCTAATGGTTGTTGTGGGTTTTTCGGGCTTCTTGGCCGTGTTCTGAAAGTGGTTCTTCCTAACGTTTCGCCAGGGCGAAACGTTAGGAAGAACCACTTTCAGAACACGGCCAAGAAGCCCGAAAAACCCACAACAACCAATTTGAGTATTTACTGTTTTTAGTTTTAAACATTGTCTCTTAATGATGTTAGCTGCTTTGGGTCCTTTTTATGGAGAAGAGCGGGGGGAAATTTTAAATGAAATAAAAATAAATAAATAAAATTGTAAACAGTGTGACTACATGAATGCAACATTTGCTCAATACCTTCAGGTCGTGGCAGTGGAAATAGCAGTGGATACTATGGACAAGGCAACATGGGAGGAGGTGGATGGCGTGGAATGTATTGAAGAGTGACCTTTGTGTCCACAAAGCGTGTTGGAAGGAAACAGTACCTGGTCTACTAGGCTTTCTTACAAAACTTAATTTCTTTTGTATTGAAAACTTTATAATGACTGAAGGAATGTGTTTTCCCATTATTTGGTAAGCAACAGATTGTGATGGGGAAATGTTTTATGTAGGTTTTATTTGTTGCATACTCTGACTTTAAATAAATTTTTTATATTCAAACCACGGATGTTGATACTTTTTATACTAGCTGCTCCAAAAGGTATGTTGCATATTCCACAACTCTGTTGATTTGGTTCATTAAAGCAGTTGTACTGTAGCTTATTACTGATATACCATTGTGTAAAATGAAATAACCACCAACTTGATAATGCATTTGTTAAGATGTGAAATGAAAGCATAGGTAGTTTCTTTCACTTAACCTTAATAAACTGCTTGTCAGTGAAGACAGATTCCCATAGCAGAATGTCTCAAAGCTGTGCTGGGCATGAAGGCCATGAGTTAAAAGTTCTGGAATGACCTAATGCACAACTGCTATTTAAAAAAGCTGGTTAATGTCTGAACTGTATGCATGCCAGAAATCTCCTAGCCCTTAAAAAGTGTATGTTAAGTATTGGTACAAATCTGTGTATCAATCTTCATACCTGTATCCTTAGCAATCAAATTTTCAGATAAGTTGTGAATAATACTATTATGTTGCTAAAAGAAGATCTAAGTATCAAACTGTTACTTAAAACAACTTCCACAGGCACTTCAGTAGCTGTTCTAATTCTTAGAAATATAACATAAAATTGAGTTAGGAATGCTGCCTCTAATTCTGAAGACCCCTGCATAAGGATTGCTGAGGGGGACTGACCTGGCAGTCAGACATTTTCAACAGATAGAGTAGCAGATGATTAGAATCACACAAATATGTGGTCCATTGCTGTGCATTTAACATGTAAGATGTTTGGATGAAATACTGTTTAGGCACTTAAGCATTCTTTGTGTATTGAAGAAAAGGTACTATTCACATTTTTCAGCACCTTGTCCTCCAAATTCTTCCCGATATGTCAAATGTGGTGATCAATTGCTGAAAATCTGTTGCCTGTTTTTGCTGGTAATGTTATGTATGTAATAAATGTCTTATTGTGGGAGATAGAAAAATAGACTTCATTCTAGGAAGTGTGTGTTGTGTCAATTTATCTAAGATATATGTAAACTAAGAATCAAAGTAATACACTTTGAAGATTTGATTCTTTCCTGTTTTGTGTTGGAAGACATCATGGGAAATTACCTTTGTAGGATTAATGTGCCAGAAACTCAAGATACCTGGTCACAGAAACCTGAAGGGTATATTTTAAAAACTGAGTTGGTCATAATAATGCTGTAAGTAGTGCTTCATAAATACAGTTCAGAGGGTTTAAGTGCACACTAGAGCTTGATGCTCAGTAGACACATCTTACTGTGGTCAAGGTTAGTGATGGAAAGGTAGTTATGTGGATTTCCAGTGGGACAGAATATAAGTTGCAGTTTGCAAGCAAACACAGTTGGAAAGGGCAGCTGGGCATTGATAAGATGCCATAATTCTGAAGTTATTAGTGTCAAGAAAAATCACATCTTCAAAACATCAGAACCGTTGATGCAAACAAGTCTAGCACCTTGAATTACAGGAATAGCTGTCCATTCTGTATGGGAACTATAGAACACTAGTTCTGCACCATGCCAGATAAAAAGAGTAATAAATAAGATGCTGAGAACAGACAAAGTCATGGTTTTGGTGCCCCATCCCCTTTAACAAGGCAGAGAGGAATGGATTAATGTCCTTAATAGAGTGTCTTTACTAATCCTAGCCTCTGTGTCTCCTGAAGGTGATCAAATGCTGTGCTTTGCAAAAAGCCTGAACTGGTTTAAGCCTTCTTAGAAAGAAGGCTTGATAATAAAGTAGAAAAGCTGCATAAAAAGAGGGTGTTAGAGTGGGGGAACAGTGGAAGAGAAAAAGACATGAATTTAAAGATGTGTAAGTAGTAATGTGATTTTGAAACAGTAACCACACGGGCATTGTTGGCCTCTTTCGCTTTCTGCTAACAAGGTGTAGGTATGGTAGGCCTCAGCCCATGTGGAGTCTCTTTTACAAAATATTACTGTTGTGTAGACCTTCTCACATGGAACTGATATGCGTGCTACAGAGTTACTAATTGTTAATTTCTGAAGTAATGTAAATTTGTTGTATAATCCATTAGGTCAGTTGCTCTTAACTCATTATTCTAAAAAACTGTTGATGTAATCATACTTGTGGAAGAGTAATGCCACCATTATCCATGTCCATTGAGGTGTAAGAGAGGTGCTTGGCCCCTCACAGGAATGCTAAATACAGGCTGATTTAACAAAGAGACACACTCCAGCTACAGAGAAGGAACTGAAGATAGAATGATCATTGAAACTAGTGAGATCAGAACAGCCATCTCTTGTTATGAGACCAGATTCCCCTGCCCTGTTCTTGAGGAGAGATCAGAGCCAGCAGGGAACTTAGTTCTATATAATGTTGCACTTTCCACAGATTTTACAAGTTATGGACACCCTACGCAAATATAGTACAATAAAAACTACAATTGAGTCAAATCATTGCTTCCCCCTCCCATTTATTTCTATGGACATCTTGCTTACTAGCAGATGGTGATGTTTTAATAATTAAAAACTAACTTCTGTCCCACTGATTTTCCAAGTCCCATGTTATCCCTTTCATCATGTAGGAACTGTGGCATGCAGAAAAATCTTACTGCCAAAAATTACAATGAGGAACTCTTAATTGGTTGTTGTGGGTTTTCCGGGCTCTTTGGCCATGTTCTGAAGGTTGTTCTTCCTAATTTTTCGCCAGTCTCTGTGGCTGGCATCTTCAGAGGACAGGAGTAGCACTCTGTACAGTGGTGCCTCACATAACGAGCGCACCGTTTAACGACGAATTCGCATAGCGATCCGTTTTTGGGGATTGCTAATGCGATCGCATACTGATGCCTAGATAGGCAAAAAAGAGAGGTTACTTACCTGTAACTTTGGTTCTTCGAGTGGTCCTCTGTGAATTCACACTAATGGGTTAATCTGCGCGTGCGCAGATGGTCTCGGAATATTCTAGAGCTTAAAGTAACACTTTTGGCTCCGCCCCCCAGGACCTCATGGTCCGCCCGCCCTAACAGTTACCTCAGTTTCCCAAATTCCGCTGCTGCTCTAAAGGCGAGACAGCCATGACGGAAAGAGGGGAGGATGGGCGGGACGTGTGAATTCACAGAGGACCACTCGAAGAACCAAAGTTACAGGTAAGTAACCTCTCTTTTTTGCCTATCTAGGCATCAGTATGCGATCGCATTAGCAATCCCCAAAAACGGATCGCTATGCGAATTCGTCGTTAAACGGTGCGCTCGTTATGTGAGGCACCACTGT